AACTGTAGGTTTTGGAGGTACTCGATTAGCTTTATATTACAACCCGGTGTATAACGTATTTTGCGCATTCATACCATTGAAGTGTTTAATTCGGTTCAATTTAAGTACTAGTTTAATTTGGACTTTTAAATTATTACAAAAATAAGTTGATTTATAAAATAGTTAATATATTGTAGTATTGATTATATTTTTTATCATGGTATATTACAGATGAAACACATATTACCGACAGTGAAAACATTAAACCAATTAATAACGGTGATTACCCCGCTTATTTACATATAAACTCTCCTTTAAGTGTTACATTACTTCAGTGAACAGAAACAGACATAGGGTATGATTTTGCAGGAACAATAAATGAGCAAGAAAGAGTAAATAATCGGTGTTTTTTTTGCTTTTTGTGTTTTACGCGGTTGTTATTTTTGTAGATTTATCACTGTCCTGGCCCTGGTCTTGCTACCATCTAAGATTAGCCTTTTGTTGGTTAGTATCATTAATTGATAGCTTAATATCAACGGGAATCTGGGCTGGTGTCCGTCATCGCATTTTAATGTATACAGGGTGGATGAAAAGTAACTTACCCCCCTTAACTTTTCAATAATTTGATATATTTGAAACGGTTTGTGTCAACCTTCTTAGAAATGAGGGGCTACAATATATATGGTAAATTTTGAAAATTTTGCTCTTAGGTGTAGTGGTGGTAGGGTGTAGCTCAAAGTTTTCAAATGACAAGTATAGTCGAGTTTGGTATTATTTTACAGATCTTAACAAAACTAAACGATGGAAATAACACACTTGCCATTTGAAAATTTTGAACTACCCCCTACCCCCGCTAACCCATAGGGCAAAACTTCAAAAATAACCATAACTATTATTGTAGCCCCTCATTTCTAAGAAGGTTGCCGCAAATTTATTTTAAATATCTCAAAAGGTGCAAATATGTTACTTTTCAGCCACCCTGTATACGTTTGGATTCTTTTTTTATCCGAATCAAAATTTTAACCGTTACCAAATTATAGCTTTTATTGTACACAGTATACAACGATTTTAGAAAACGTTACTTCCGGTATATTCCACTTATAAAAATACAAAGTAAATTTACCAATAACACAGTATGAGAATTGTTCCACCTATAGTGTGCATTAGTCTTTCAACGATCTGAACTTTGACTTTTTCAGTTTAAATGAATAGCTTCGCGGAACCGTAGCGTGTCATAAATAAACAAACAGAACTTAACCCGTGTGGGATGATCAGTGTCCAGCTAGTTGCCTGCATAAAATCATTGTACAGATTGCTTTGTTTATAGAACAATATAGAAGTATTAATACAACTGATGTACAAGTAGCAGGAAAGTTTTGTGAAATCCTTGTAAAATGAACAATCAATTAAATATAGCAAATCTTATCAGAAATAATTAGGAACATTTTCAATATTTAACATTTAGTTTAAAGACAAGTCACTAATATAAAATAGCTATTATCCCGAGAACGGCTGAAAGAACTTTACATACGAATACAGGTACATTTTAAACACATTCTCAGAGAGCAAAATGATGTTGTTTCTTTGCTAAGTAAACATTTGACCCGGTCTATACTTTAGCTTAGGTAGGACTTTACTCTACCTAGAATTCTCTACCCGATTGTACAGTCAGTTCAGTTGAAATTTGCCGAATTAATATTTAATTTATACTAGTATAACCATTTGTGCTTGTTCAGATTGTTAAATAAGGTCTATAATAGTTAAATGTTATGAACGCACGTGTTAATATTGAATCCGAGTACAATTTGTCCAGTGTTTTTTAACAACGATGAACATTTAAGCCAATATTAGTTCATATCGCTTCATTGGATTAATACACGAAAAGGGTTAATTAGAATTTATGAATGGTCATAAACTTAGTTTGTTGGAAAAAAAATCAGTTGAAATAAAATGGACTCTCCAGCATAGGTTATGTTTATATTCAAAACAATCTGACGTATTTTTTTTACAAATCTTGTAACCAGAATAAAGAAAACAATGATAATTAAATGTAAAATAACCTTAAAATATACAGTTATTACACGATAGAAAAGTATTAAAACCAAATAACTACGTTTTAGCGAATTTCCCTATAGGGAAGTAGCTATTACCGTAGGTCTCATGGTAAGACTTAGGCCCGGGACCGATCTACTTTTTCATTTTAATGTCCCCAGAGGCCAAAAACACCATTCGTTCAAATTTTTATATATGTATATATATATATATATAGGTATATATATATATAGATTTATATATATATGTGTCCGTGAACACGATAACTTGAGTAATTTTTATCCGATTTTGATGAAATTTGGTTTGAAGGTGTAAGGCGGGATAAACTTGAATGAGTTCGCGATCCAGCTAGATCGGACCATGGGAACAGGGTTTTATGGGGGGTTTTATTGGGTAAAAATTGGTTTTTCTCACTTTTTACCCTCAAAACACAAAATTTCCCAATTTTTCTCTAAACCTTCTTAAAGAGCTTAAAAAAACAAACAATTCAGTATATCAAAGTGTTTTTGTACGGTTATTGGTTACGGAGAAAACTAAAAAAATTGTAAATTTAAAATTCCCATGTTATTCTTATGGAGAATATTGTAAAATGTAGTTTGCTTGTTTATGGATATATTTTGATCAAACTTGGCCAATTTATTTATTTTATAGTAAGCTATCAATATTTTACTAAAAACACACTACTTTATTAGTTTCCTTGTAGCAGCAAACCTAGGTACTCGTTAAACCTAATGTTATTTAAATAGATCAATTGAAAATCAATTCGGCCAAATGGAAATTCGCTTAGACGGCAGGTTTGCTGCGGCGGGGGTATTATACTATTGTAAAAACTGTACAATACATATTTATAAGATTACATTTGTAGGATTTTTTATCATCAAAGAAAATATTTTTAACGACGTACGTGTATAATTACGTAAATATGAGTATGTATGTACTATGTATGTACGTATATGTATGTATGTATATGTATGTATGAGTATCTATGTACGTAAGTAATATAGTTGTGTACGTAAGTATAAGTACCTACCGTAAACGGTATTTTTTCAAGTGATATTTTGAGTGTTTCTATACAAAACATACTAATTTTACGTCGATTTCCAGCATCAAATATAATAGGCCTACATGTTAAAGTTATAAGCACAAGGGGTATACCTACGTATTACAGGTACCGTTACATCAGTCTTGTTATAGTGTCACATTATCTTAGTGATATATTGAAGTGTTCAGTAAGATATATTCCTACCCACTACTTTTATACCATGATATAAACTATATTATGAAACGGCTGACATCCCTATTATAATAAGCCGATCGGGTATATTCATCATAATGCAAGTGTGAAGTATTAATCGTTGAATATTGTTAACTTACTTTTTAAATAACTTTTTGAATTGAGTATTTCAGCAAGAGAGTAAATTTATTTTATTCTTTAGTCAACGGTCCTAGCAGAAGAACCCTAGCAAAAGTAATCTCTGAAAAAGTATTCAAAGATCTTACTCTTTTTTGTCATCTTTTGTTTCTTAAGATTGAATGGGTTTCAGTCAAACGTAGAGTAGGCCTATATTGTGTAATACACCATTGAGTATGCACGTGTATACTCAACGGTATAAGTTTTGATAATCACCGTTTTTACATTACGAAAAAATTATCTTTGAGTAAAGGGTTGGATTCCACATGTAAAATGTAGAACCTTATGTTCAAAATGTTACATTTATAATACTAGTTAATAAAAGCCCTAGTTTGGAATACTATCACATATTTTGTATTTCATCCAATAGATTGAACATACTACTATTTATTTACTAGAGTAAAAAAAAATATCTCGCTATCTTGAAAATCTAAATATAAAATCGTGAATATGTTTAATACAATAATGTCAATGTGTAATTAAATGAAATATTTTAAAAAGAATACTTATTATATAACTAGCTGTTACCCACGGGCTTCACCTCGTTTGAGTACCTTAATATTGATAAAACTATTTATTGGTTAGGTTGAGCTGAAATAAACATAACCGAATACAGTAATACAAACAAATAATCACACCTGATTTTAATAAGGTAAAAAATTGAAAGAATAACGTACACCAAAGTACAGCTGAGGTATTTTGAACATTAGGTAGGTATATAGAAAGTTCCCCTTATAAAGCAATTACGACCTTAAAGGGCAATATAGATATAGTTTTGTGCAAGGTTTCTCGTCATGACGAACATTTTAAGAATATGGTTTATAGGGTGTGACTTGTAATTTTCTCAAGAGTTCATGGGTACTTTGGGCTTTATACTGTATATGGATATGGCAAGGTCCAGGTAATTCACACATCTTCATGTTGTTTTAGCCTCCGGATCACTGGTATAGTAATCAATAATGGTTTAAATACCTTAGACCGTCAAAATTGTCTTTTGTTGTCTATATTTGTAGTCTCTTTTGTAGGCTACTACAGTTACAATCCCGCCCCGAATCACATATTTTTATGATAGTTAACTGTTACACAGTCTACAATAAAAAAATATAAAAACATAAATAAAAGACAATATTGCTATTTTGAATAAACGTTTTAGTGTTTATACGTAAAATATATAATAATGGTTTGAGAAGGGTTTTTTTTAAGGAGCAGGTTAAAAAGCATTACTTGAGTGGAAATTAAAAATCTCTCCTCTTTTTGATAAACACTGTAATTTCTCCATAAATTATCACCACACCCATTTTGTTAACTAGTTAAATCAGGTGCAGTAAATCTCGATTTTAAGCCGCTCAAATCCAATCCAATTATTCAAATGATACGTCCCGAGAGGAGGTAGATACAAGTATGTTTACCAGCGGCACTCCGCCTAGAAGGCTCCTGGAAGGATTGTGAGGGTGTAATAGTTGCAGGGTAGGGTGGGGGCAGCAGTGGGAGGAGGATGGACACGCGCACGCGGGTTGTACCCGTACAAAACGCAACCCAGACGCTCCCATCGTCCATTCCTGTGCGGTGTTTGACTAAGAGAGGAGCGCGTCTGATTTTGGTGAGTTCAACACGTGGTTTGAAGCAGGGTAAACCACTCTGGAGTCAGATAAGACACTCTGTGTGGATTAATTTTTTTCTAAATAAAAGGTTAAGCAAACGGGTGAAATGTGTCCTATATTAACAGTATATTAGCAGCTCCATAAGTTATATTAGCTACAAACACGTTTCGCACCGAATAGTAACTTACTGATTAAAACTTTATCACTAAAACCAACACAAACACTTTGATAAATAACACTTTTACAGTTTTATAAGAATTAATGTAAAAACAATTTTTGCACAGAATACTAATTAATAAAATGATAAAAATGTACCTGACTAGAATCCAGACAAACTGCTTAAAAAACAAAACACTTGTATAAACATTATAATTACATAACCCTTTTTATAAGCTAAAAATAAAGGACGTCCTTAAATTTATCTTTTAATTCCGTCTAATTTTAAATGGGCTCTTTTTCTTTTCCATGTTCTCTGTTTTTCTCTTTAAATTCTCAATTATATTAACAATCTTATTCACAAGGCACTATATTAGGTACATGAGCATTAAGTTTTACCATATTTAACATACAAGCATCATCACCAGTTAGTTAATAAATCCCTTCAGTTATACAGTAATAAAGTATTTAAAGTAATCAATTTCTTTTAACATTTTATTATAAGCAAATACAATTTAAAAAACAAAATCAGTAATTTACTAAAATTACTGCTGCCGTTAAACCTGGTCAGCATTTGAAGATTCCACCTTTAGAATTCTTCCATACAAATATAATGTTTTCAAAATGTTTATCTTCTGTATTTGTACAATCCTAAACGTGTCAAATGTGTACATACAATTTTGAAAAAGTATTTTCTTATCACAGGTTGATTAACAGCTTATTATTTCAGCCAGGTATTTGAAGAACTGATAAAGTCATTTTTTACTTGTTTATTTATTCATTAATCAACTGCCCGTTTATAACGTGAACTGCAGTTTTAGCTACTTAGTTTATTATTCACTCACTCTATTAACTATAAATATTTTTAATCCGTTAAATTACACATTTTAATAACTCAGAGCTGTTTACATATAGATACCTCGGACACACCCAGCTCCGGTCGTTAGCGCTATCCAAACACGGAGGATATTGCCCAAATATTTACCGTGTTGTGGAGTGTAGTTACTGTAAACAACTGAAATATTTGTTGAATTTAGTCCTAATTTAAGACAATCAATCCCTAAGAAAATCCAAAAAGTAAAAGACTAAATTCATTTATATATATAATTGTATTTTATATCGATATTATGGGTGGTTCAGGGAATTTCCATCAAACACAATTTATTTATAATAATCGGTGATTGTTTAGGTAATTTATATTATTTAGACCCATCACGAAACCAAGTAAAACATTTATATACAATATCTTAAACAAAAGGTATACCCAGAAGTATTGATTTATTGTTTATAGGAAATCAACTTTAGCAGTTTAATTTATCTTTCATGTAACGACACAATTAATAAAATACCTTAAATTCTTCATTTAAAACAAATTACTTGACCTATTTCTGATTTCCAATACTATATATTATTTCATTATTACCACAAAACACTGTGAACTCCCGTAATCTAGTAGTTTTTAGTTTTTTTTTATTGAAAAAAATAAACTAAAATAATCGTTGACATTGGCCTGCTAAAAATAAAAGAAATTAATATATTATTTAAGGGATTATTTTCTGTAAAATTCCTAGTTATGTAGAAGTTCTTTAATTGAGTATGTAAAGAGGAAATTGTAATTTGACATTTTGGACATATGATCAAACTATAACCCAATTATAAATGTTTGATAACCAAACTCTTTAATCTAAAAACTAATATAATATTAAAAATTCTTTTGAAAAATTTCTCATGACCATCACATTTTGCCAAAGGGCTTGATATTCCATATGTATTTAGTGAATTTCCCACATATTAGGAGATAAGCTATTACCGTAAGTCTCATTGTAAAACCTTGTCACGAGTCTAAAACACTTCCTCGTTTCGATGTCCCCATAGACCAAAAACACCATAAAATAAAATGTATTATATGTCTGCCCATTAGCGCAGTAACTCGAGTAAAAATGATCCCATTTCGATCAAATTCGGTACAAAGGTATGAAAAAGTAACATCTATTTGCGAATGAGTTAAGAGTACCAGCATGAGCGACTAAGGGAACAGAGCTATATGTGGGGTTTACCTATGTAGTAAAAATCGGTGTTTGCCATTTTTAACCCTGAAGTCATAGAACTTCCAAATTTCTCTCTGGGCAATTAGTAAAACTCAAAATACAAAAGAAAATTGTATTTAAAAGTGTTTTGTATGGTCAATAAATACAGAGTGCATTTAAAAACACAAAAAATTCAAACTCTAAACGCGATTTACATAGAACATAACTAGACTGTTGTAGTTTCCCGGTTTATGTTAATAAAACTTGTCTCATTCATTTATTTTACCTACTTAAGTTTTACCCTAAACCCTATTTATAATCTTTCCCAACAAATTAACAGGTAAGTATTTGTTAAACTAACCCAACTAGCAAATATATTTTGATAGCAAATAAATAGGACATATTTAGGAAAATATTCAAGTAAAAATCCAATGAGGCAAATTTTAATTGACTTAGTCTGCAGGTTTAATGCCACTGGGGTATTATGGTCTACTCTAAATTAATCTGTACGACATTTTCAAACGAAAATAATGGAAGTTGTATGTTTAGTCGTATAACAATTTACATATCCCACGCAAAGAAAATGTCAGGATTTACATTAAAGAGAAGCTTTAGCTTGCATAACTTACTTAAAACCAATCCTTTTATATTGTTAAACAATTTAAGATTTTTTTATTATTATCGCTACTTGTATGCTAAGGCTACTTTTTACCAAAAACTATCAGCTTTTTGTATATAATTGAACCAAACCACGTATTACAAATAATGTATAAAACTGCAAGGTTTTATAGTAAGGCTATTTATACATGTAACGTTAAATATCAATATATGGCACATAAAACTCTCACTCTTATATGTTATCGTTCTGATCATAAATTTTAACCATTGTAGACAACATAAATTTTTGATACGCATAAGAGGCAGGAAAACTAATACTTACAATAGTAGATTATTTTATCTCATATATTGCCAAGTGTTTTTTTATGTAGTTAACAACCATAGTTTCGAAAAGCTTGTAAGCTTCAATTTTCAAGTTTAATGGACATTGAGCGTATTAATTATTTTCTATTTAAGTTATGCGAGCTTTTCTGAGTCGGTTCGTCTCTACTACCCGGCCGATTTTCATAGTTTTGGTCATACATTAAAGGTATGCCCGCACAGATTTGCCACCAAGCATGGGCATACATTTATCTGACGTATAGTTCTTCCCTGTTCATTTCTTGTGGGATTTAAATTTGGGGTTTCTTTTCCGAGTTCGATTAGCTCTTCTACCCGGCCGATTTTCATAGTTTTGGTCATACATTAAAGGTATGCAAGCACAGATTTGTCATCAAGCATTATCATTCGTTTATATACTGTATAACTCGACCAACAAATATAAATTTGATATTTTTTCAAATTCTCACATTAAACACTATAACTTTTATTTCAGTATTTTAATTCACTAGTTCTAGTTACATTATCCCATATATTTTGGCCTTAGAACATTCAGTGAAATACCAGCTTTTATTTGAGTTATTTATTATTAAGATCGGACGTACCTGAAGTAGGACGTATCATAATAATTATTTTAGGACTTATCTGCAATCAATGATACGTAACTCCATTGTTATTTTAGTTTATTTTATGTCTCGGTCTTAAAGTGCTCCTAGAAATAAAGGCTTTAATTTGAGATATCGATAGTTTGAATCAGTTGAGTTCAAGATACTGTATTGATAGGTAAAAAACAACACTGCGGACTTTTATAAACAGCACAAGGTCTTTTAGTAAATTTTAACATATATTTATAAAATACTAACCGTAGTATAGTATGTGTTGCGAGCTATTCAGTCTACCTAAATGTGTAAGGCCTATACTCCTAAACATTTCTTTAGCGAATTTCCCATATAGGGGATAAGTTATTGCCGTAGGTATCATGATAAGACCTAGACCCGGGACCGATTGACTTGTTTGTTTTAAATTCCACAGAGACCAACACTATGCGTTAAAGTTCATACTATGAGTCTGCGAACCAGCATGTTCAAACTATGGGAATGGGGTTAATGTGGTAAAAACGGCATTTTTCCATTTTTGACCCTAAAACTCAAAATCTCAAAATTTCTAAAAAAAAATTTCAGCTTAAAAATTGAAAATTTGTCACATTTAAGCGTTGTTGCATGCCTAACGGTTATGGAGATAATTCAACAAATTGTAAATTTTTTATGCCCTTTGTTATTTTTGTGGAGATTTAATAAACTGTTGTAGTTAGCTTGTTTATGGGTATATTTTAATCAAATTTGGCAATTTTGTTTGTTCCATACTAAGTTAGTAATATTTCAATAAACAAAAGCACACGTCACTACCTTCCCTGTAGCTGCAAACCTAAGTACCTAAGTAGGGAATAAATCTGAAAATTTTAAGGGAATATTTGGGTAAAAATTCATCCAGGTAAATAGAAATACTTTTCGTCTACAGGCTTTATCTGTGTTGGGGATATTTAGATTTTTAATAGATACCCTTTTAAAGAATTACATTTATGTAGATTGTGGTATATGTGAACTGTTACTATAAATATAAATATAGCATGCATTACTTACCATTACTTAATAATTTATTTTTGTAGAAAAACGGTATGAACATAATTATTAAAAGCATTTGTTTTGTCATCAAACACAGTGTTGACATCATTGGACTGATTTTTACGTCATCACATGTTTACAACATGTTAATGGACGCAAACACATACATTACCAGTCGTAACATTCCGTCAGCAACTATGTAGGGACCGCATGCTGTTTTATAATGTTGCGTCATAAAATTTTTCCATCTAGGGAAAT